GTTGCTATGGTTTAAAAATGATCTCTGCAATGTTGATTTCTAAGTCCCGGTTCCACCTTTCTATTTAAATTAATAATTTTAACTTACATTTCTCTTAAAAATAACTGAGAGGATTAGCTGAGTACCCATGGTCAATTCATAAAGCAAGGGAATTAATTATCAGAAAAGCATCCTCCACCTCTACTGGACTGCAGCAACTTCACAGAATAAATATGCAAATCCGATATCCTCAAGGCTGACAAGTTTCTATTATTACACTGCTAACGTGTTTATTTCTCCCACAATAGCTAGATTTTCGTCATGAATACTCATTAGGCTCTGTAGTTATTAGCCGTGATGACTAGGTGACAGTGAGGACACTACTTGAGAATTTGCATCTGACAGATCACTGACACACAGTCACAGCTCCTTTTTCTCTTCGCTTAAACAGAAATCAAGCAAAAGGAAATGAAGTGGAGCGATTAAAGATTATTCAGGTTTAATAGCATACATCCTTTTAGCTGGCGTTAGAACAATACACAATGTGGCAGAGTTAAACAGAGGCATCAATTATACTCTCAGACCTGTTAATATTTTTGACAATATTTAAATAGCACATCCCTTCGGGGCACAGCTTTTTTGCCCTCTCAGTTACACACCTGTCAAGTGGTTAATTTGCCAAAGGGAAACAGTTTGATTTCTAAGGGCAGTCTTAATACTAAAGAGGCAAATTGGAAAAATTAAACATTATTGAATAGAAGTAATGAAAAGGATCTGAGGGAAAGAAATTGTGGGCTTAATTCAACATGGCATGCCAGCATCTGTCATTAATGCAACAATATGATCACGTGCTCCAGGACACCACACACCTCAGGCTTCTCAATTATCCACTCCCTCTGCTTCTCTAAAAGACAGGGGGAAGGTGATGAGAGGGAAAACCGGTAATGGTCAGAATGATGGAAGCAGTAACATACACCTGCTGTGTGTATAAAATGGTACAGTTGAAAACATCATGTAGGTATAAGCTAACAAATCAAAGCTAACACTGCTTAGATTTGTATTGTCACTGATTTAAAAGCATGACACAAATATGATTCCTTATATGGGTTAATTATTAAATTATGAAAATTGGTAAATTCACATTTGTCAAATATAACATGACAAAGTCTAGAATATTTGTATTTAAATTTTTAAAACAAAATAATATAGTTTTGGGGGCTGGAGAGATGGCTCAGCAGTAAAGAGGACTGACTGCTCTTGCAGAGGACCCAGGTTTGATTCCCAGCACCCACACGGTGGCTAACAACCGCCCGTAATGCCAGTTCTAGGGGCTCTGACACGCATTTCTGACCTCCGCAGGCATTGCACGATACGGGTGCACTTGCACACATGCAAGCAATACACTCATATACAAAAATTACATTAAATTAAATTTTAAATAATAATAGTCTAGTTTTTGAACTTTTACTAGAGTCATATAAGACAAGGAAATGGCACTGGTAAAGATGGATAGCAGAAGCAGCACCCACCTGTACCAGACTGGAGAGATCTCATAAAATACATACACAAATCCAAAATCCTCAAAGCTCATGTGAAAGGCCACCCAGCCTCTGACAGGCATGTAGGCATCAAGTTTACACTCTTGAAAAGAAAAAAAAAGGAACATAGAAAACAGGCTGCTTCCCCAAAAGGGAGCCAAGAAGCTGCCCTCACATCACTTAACCTCCCCTAACCACTGCTACAAGTAAGACACAGCCACACGTTCCCTTGATCCCTTTTACTGTGGGTTTTCTCTTCTGGGTATGAATGGCCAGGAAGAAAAAGTCCAAAGCTACATGAGACACACCAGCATAGTTCACAACTTAATCTTGAAAATATAAGAATGTAATCTTGGAATCTAGCTGAGGCTCAGGCCAAAAGACCCAGCAGCAACTCTTTCCTTTCATAGACATGGCACCCTACTGAGCCACTGGTGGTGAGTCCCCAGCTAACAGACTTCCAGCTCCAGGATCCCTCACATGGGAAGTGAGTTCACATCAAACCGGGTGTGGGTGGCCACATGTCCTGCTTCCCACCACCTCCCTGCCTCCAGTCTGACTGCGTCACTAGTACTATACCTCCCCTGTTCTCAGAAAGGTGCAGTGTTGTCTGTCTGTCTGTCTGTCCACGGCATTAAATAAATCTTGCAGCCTCGAGGAACATTCTCTGTCTCAGTATCCTCTATTGTATCCAAGACCTTTAATGTGTCATTAATAAAACAGTAGCAACGACCTATACTTGGTCATAAAACATGAGGCTCCCTGACTGTACTCAATAGACTTCCAAGCACGTGAATCACCTAGGGCCCAACTGGTCACAGAGCTACATCCTCCTACATCCTACTCACTTTGAAACAGTAAAGCCAGTGCAACTTTTAAGTCTGTTTACCTCCTTCCATGAGATTCTGCCCCTAAATGAAGGCTAGCTAGAAAGGCTGACCTTTCCCTGAAGATTCAGTTATCTCACTGACTACTGGTATACTTAAATGTACTTGGTGGATGATTTACTTTAATTTTCCCATCATTATAATCATATTTTCACATACTACAAGAAGACCTCCGTTTAATTTCCTTACACTCTAAAAAAAAAGAAAGATCATTTTCCACACCATAATTACATTTACATTCAAGATACCAATTTCTCCAAAAGCATGCCAGTTCGTTCTGAAAATAGGTACTGAAGACCAATCTTTTAAATAACTTGCAAAGTGGAGAAATACACACATACAATAAAAATTGCTTAATTCCTAACCACGACATTTTAAATTATTAAACAGAAATTCAGTATAGAAAAATAATTTTGTAGGCATGTGTGTTTGCATGCTCCTGTGTGCAAGTGTACATGTGTGTGAATGTGCATGGGGAGGCCAGAGGACAACTGTGGTCACAGACCTGCTCTGCAGACATCCTCTCCCTTCTGCTTTTTCTTTCTTGGTTGGCCAGAAAGCCCCAGAGACCTGTCTCTGCTTCCCTAATGCCGGCATACACAAATTTTCTTTCTTTTTAGTTGTTTAATTGGTATTTCATGTGTATGAATGTTTTGCCTGTAAGTGCATCTGTGTTATGCAATGCCCACAGGCCAGAAGAGGGTGTCTGATCCCCTGGAACTGGAGTCATGGGTGGTTGTTAGCCACAATGTTAGTGCAGACACCAGAACTCAGGTCCTCTGTAAGAGCAGCCAGTGCTCTTTCTCTAGCCCCCAGGTTTTCCTTTTAATAGTAGTTTTAGGAATTGAACTCGGGTCTTTGCAAGCACATTGCCAAGAGGAAATTACTTCTGAAGATTCCGCTTTATTTACTTTTTTTCTGGGAAACTACAAAAGCACACACAAATCTAGATTATTGACAACTGATTGCTGCTAGATGAGGAACAGCTGACCTTCCTAAAACAAAGACCT